GGGGTGGCAGAGGGCGTGGACAGGATATAATGAATTGCCTGAGTCGGTAAGTCACAATGTATCAAATGCAAGTCCAGGCCGATGATCCACTTACAGCTTAGAGCAACTAAATGGTAAATTTGTAGTTTGGAGTCAAGTCCACCAAGTACAGAGATGAAACCAACACAATATTTTCTGAGCCTTGCTGTCTGCTCCAACAGCCTCTCATCATCACTGAGCAACATTTTCGTCAGATTCTGCCAGGATATGATGCCATCTTTATGACTGTCTTTGAGACAAAAAGCCAGTCACTACAACTACCCCTCTGAGTGACAGCTATATACTATAGGTCAGCTACGTGATGACATTAAAGGGATAACTACTGTACGTTTTGACCAAAAACGGATTGTCTGAGGTAAACGACAATTTTTCTTATGATAACCAATGGTTCAAGAATCCATTCCTACATTCAGAGTTAGTCCCCTTTTTTAACAATTAGTTTTTTTGCATAATCTAATAAGAGATTTTGATGGAGGTATGTCCATCTATGAAGGTCCATGTTGTCTGATGGCAAGCACAAATTCCAGAATAATTGCGATAACAGCTGCTTTGGTAGAATTTATTATATTGTTTTGAGCTGTTTATGATTTATTTATTATTGAATATGAATCTCATACTAAGAGTTGTAATCCCTTTAATATGGTACAATATCTTTTTCGACTCTCCACTGTAATTTTGATTGGTAAATGAATCAGAACCAATACAACTGATAATATCAATATATACGCATCAGTAAAACAATAGAATTACTAAGTATAGACTTAATCTTTCTATAATTATATGGCTTTAGTAGACCGTAAATGGCTCAATGTAGCTGGTGGTAAATGCAGTGCCAGGTAAACTGTCAGTTTTACTGCATTCCGGCTTTCTAATGTCCGTTAGGGATGGCTTTTCTGCGCATTGGTTTTGTTGTCATTTTACAGTGACAGTACTTATTCAGGCCATTGTCTTCGGTGCAGCAACAGTTGCTGTCGTAGAGACTGAGTCGTATGACTGGGGTGATAACAAAGTATGGGCTCTCTGTGGAGACAGAAGCCGTTGCCGTCGTTTCACGCACGGAAGCTTCAAATATTCCCCTCCCTGGTACTGTCTTAATAATTACACTATATGTAAAACAGGGTCTCTTGTCAGATATCATGGCGATATAGATAATCTTTGAAATGTGTAGGAAGTCGCACTCAGATGTCGCATTGATGATGTCATTTATTCTGGTCAATACGGTGCTGGCAATTAAGTGTGCTTTCTGAGAATTGACATCTAGAAAAGTTGGTTCCAGTGGTGTACATAAAGTGCAGGTGTCTTCTGGTATACCTGCTGAGGCACACGTCCTTCTGCTGGGGAGATTTCGGAACAAACTTAATCCTTTCCCTGATCCGCCTTTATGTTTTTTGCCATCGGTACTCTCTGTGACAGTTGGTAAATGCGAGTGAAGGATATCCAACAACGTGGCGTGGATATCGTATGGAGTAACCAGTCGGTCTGCATTCGAGTTCACAGCTGTTGCTATGTGCGGATACTGCTGCCTGAGCCATGGTGGCAGAACCATTATTAGCATAGGGTTTCTGGCTTCTAGGTGACCAATAGGGGTTGAGCGTATCCTCCCAAACCTTGAATAACAAAAAAACTTGGAGTATTAATAGAGTGCAAAAAAGTGCCCTGTCTTAATTGGGACTCAAAACATGACTTTTTGCTAACAAATGCGTAAATGCGTGCGTGCAAGTGTGCGACTGTGTAGGTATGAGCGCGCGCACGCGTGTGTTTGAGAGAGAGAGAGAGAGAGAGAGAGAGAGAGATAGAAAGTACCTTGAACCATGATCACTCATAAATAGCATTATCGTGTTGTTAAGATAGCCTCTTCCCTTTTGGTCTATTAAAAAGTGTCGATAATCCTCATCTCCCAACTGAATAACCGTGTCTGAATGATGACTTATTGCATTAAGAAAATAAAGAGCAAAATATGACTGGTATCGGTGTTTTTCCACGTAATTGGCCAAATATTGAATTGCAATGCGATGTATAGGCATATCACCAAGACAGAAAGTCTGTGAGTCCCAATACAAGGACGAATTTTCCATTGCCACCCAGAATGGATGTGTGTAGTAGTCTGTTGGTGGTTTAGCGAACCCATCTCCTATATAACTGATCGTGGCTGTTACTGTGTCTTCCAAGTAAAACGTCTTGTAACCCTGCTCTGAGAAATGTTTCCATATGAACGGAGCATCGATACTGGCCTCAGAATGGGGTAATCCTGTCAGAACCGGAAATATATTAGGCAACGAATTCTCACCCAGTGCATGAAACCCGGTAAAGATGGTCCCGTTCATTTCATTGGACAGATATTGAAGCGTTTTTGGAATATATCGAGCGGCGCTAGATAACGACACTCCGTCGTTGACCATAATTAACACATTCAGCCTCGGTTGTTTTCCCGTTGTTTCAGAGTATTTTTTGGAAATAGGCTCATCTCTTTTTACCATGTGGAGATGGAAATTTTCATAGACTTTGTATCCGGCTCTGTTAATGCAAGAAACATACACGAAATCTTCCTGAAGTTTTACTCTGTTTTCTGGGGGTAAAGAAATCCTTTTACTTAAAACAAATGCCTCGTCCTCTTTGTAAGGTTTTGTCGGGTGTCGTATGTATTGAAAATAGCACTGCACGCTGTCGGTTAGCCTGGAATTGTTTTTGATTATAATTAGCGTCAAATATCCTTCTCTGTCAACTTTACTTTCAACCACCGATGCCTGTCGTCTACATTTGAGCGGCGGAAAATGGGGAATATATGGCAGAACGGAGGGATGCAACGGATCTAGTCTCCTCACTGTCGTGTTTTTGCACGTTATTGACTGTGAATCTTGCACATGACACTTGGACTTCATGTGATCTCTTCTCAACTTGAAATAGAATCTAAAGCTCGGTACAAGTCTCAGGAATCCATTGTAGCGCAGCCATGTTATCCCAGACAGTAGCTGGTATAGTCCTAGAAGACATATACTGGTAGCAACCAGCGTCACCGTCACACTGCCTATTTTCATCTGAAAGACAGCAAAAACTAATCCGATCAAAAACTGAAAAAAAA